AAGACACAAAACCACTAACCAAAAAAGGAAAAAATAGAGAAATTGGACTTGCATAAAATTATAAACTTTTGTTCATCAAAAGACACCTTTAAAAGAGTACAAAGGCAAGCCACATAAAGAGGAGAAAATAGTGCAAAGCATATATATGGCAAAACACTTCTTTCAAATATATGAAGAACTCCTACACATCAACAACAAAAAGGTAAAAAATTCAATTTTTTCAAAAATGGGCAAAAAACTTAGATACCTCACAAAAGAAAAAAACCATATAGCCAGTAAGCATACCAAAAATGTATTTAACATCATTGTTGTTATGTGCTGTCGAGTCGGACCCGACTCATAGCGACCCCTCCTTGGGTTTCTGGGGCAGTATCACTACCAAGTAGATTGCCCAACCTTCCTCCTGAAGAGTGGCTAGTGGGTTTGAACCGCCAGCCTTCTGGTTAGCAGTCAAGTTAACATCATTAGTCATAAGATAAATGTAAATTAAAATTACAGTGCAGCATGTCTTCACACCCACCAGAAAATAAAATTAAGACACACATACCAAGTGGTGGCAAAATGTGCTGTAACTAGAACTCTCCGACACTGTGGGTGACACTGTCAACTGAAACAACTTTGATAAACTATTTGAGGGTCAGCAAAAAAGGAGAAGACCCTCAATGAGATGGACTGACACATTGGCTGTGATGATGGGCTCAAGGACTGCAGTGATTTTAAGAAGGGCGTGGAACCAGCCAGTGTTTCATTCTGTTATGAGTCAGAACCAACCTAACGGCACCTGACAACAGCAACATTAAAACTAAGGCATCCCTGGACAGCATAAATGGTTAAGTAGTTAACTACTAACTGGAAGGATGGCAGCTTAAGCCCACCCAGAGGTGCCTCAGAAGACAGGCCTGGCAATCTGCTTCTGAAAGGTCACAGCTTTGAAAACCCTATGGAGTAGTTCTACTCTCCACATAAACTACTGCTCTTAATCATAGATGTAACGCTGAGTGAAAGATGACAGAGACAATGAGCATCATTCCACTTATTTGAGGTTTAGTAACAGGTAAAACTTATCCATGTTGATGTTGTTGAGTGCCATCATGTCAATTCCAACTTATAGTGAGCCTATAGGACAGAGCAGACCCACCCTACAGGGTTTCTTGGACTATAATATTTATGGAAGCTGATCACTAGGTCTTTCTCCTGAAAAGCCACTGGTGGGTTTGAAATGCTGACCTTCAAGTTAGCACCCAAACCCTTAACCACTGGTGTCACCAGGGCTCTTTATGTTGAAAAAAGTCAGGTTAGTGGTTATGTCTTTTGGAGGTGAAGGGTACTGATTACTGAGGGACACAGGGGAACATTTTTGGGTACTGAAAATAATCTATTTTTTTATCTGGATAGTAGTTACATATGTGTATACATATTTTTTTTTAAAAAAAGAGCTATATACTTAGGATCCGTGGCTCAACAAACAAAATAAAACTATAAACGCTCAACTAACCCTGGGTAGGAAAGGTAAGAGAGCCAAAAAGTGCTGACTCTTAGTGTCAACTCTTGGTTATTCAATAATAGAGAAGGTAATAGAACATAAAGAAAAATTAGTAACTATCATCATCAGATTAATTCTTCCCTCGTCTACTAGAAAACAGTTGGTCTCTGGCTCAGAGGTTCCACAGATAATTTTTTTATCCTCAAGACAAATACAGTTCCCTCGCATATGTCAATAATAAATGTACTGAATGAATTAATGAATATGTGAACTCTGAAGTTACAGTTCATTTACATCAGACCATCCTCATGGTAAAAAAGAAAAGAAATTGAAAAAAGATGGAATTAAGGAAAAAGTTTCCAATTTTGTGGCTAATCTCAATCTGTGTCCACCCATTACTCTGCAGATGATACATTCTCTCATACTGAAACAGGTAGACCTTGCTGCCTTTGGGACCCTTGCATTCCCCTAAAAGGAGAATGAAGGGTATTATTTCCTGGCTTCAGACAGAACCTTAGCAATGGAAATTAGCATATTTGGTGATGGCTGAGACTTGACTAAATAAAATTATGACAAGAAAACAGAAATTTTTCTCCCATCAATTAAAGCAACTTCCACAAATGTGATTCTAACACACCATCACCAGGAACAAATCATAAAAAATACTCTGTAAAGTAAGGTGTAACATATTTTAAAATACGTTACAAGAGAAATTAATTTTCAAAAGCATAAAGTCAGAGAGTAAGAAACAACTGATTACTTCTAAACAAGTTACAAATGTTTTCAATGACAGATACACTGCTTACCTGTTCCAGCACATCCAACTTTAATTCGAGCTTGCTGAGAACCACGTCTCCACCCCATAGTGAAAGCTGCAGATCCGAGGGCTTTAAGTTCTTAATGTAGCGATTCACATAGCTCATTAAAATTGGAGTCACATACGACTCCAACATCTTTTAAGGTGCAGAGAAGTCACAGTCGGAAGCTGAAGGGAGTAAAGATAAAAACATCAGAAGTAATTGAGCCGGTGTGGAACGAAGGAGAAAGTATTTCTCAGGAGTGAGAGACCCCGACAATCACCACTTCCCACCAAAGCAGCCTCTCACTCTCCCAGAAGTAGAGAAAATTCAAGTGGACTCTACGCTCCAGGCGAAATTTCCTCACTTATACAACTCCCCTCAAATCCCCAGGTGAAGTGGGAAGGAAGACGTAGTGACCTGAACACAGCAGTCTCCTGGAGTGGAAGAAAAAGATGAAGTGGGCTCCCCTTTGACCGCTGCACTTCTTAACTAGTCCTGCAGCCCCGCGAGGCCCTCGCCTCCCGGAACCCAGCCGGATCTACCACCATAAAACTAGAGCTAGAACCAGGCCCGCTCCTGCGCTCCCACCACACTCCACCTTCGGCTGACACTCATGCCAAACAGTACGGTGGCGTCTCCTCCACCTCCCGGTACCTGGCACCGGCTCGCGACGGCTGCGCAGCTCCTCTTCAGCGCCACTTCCGGGTGTGCCCTGTTGGTGCGCAAAACTAACTGTCCCTCCGCCGCCGCCACTCGACTCGGATGCTGGGTCAGATTTGTCAGGTTAAAGAAGCTACTCCATGTGTCCTTTCGGAGAACACTTGACTTTCGCTAGCTTGCATCCCCACTGTAACTCGCCAGTGGTCAGGACAAAGCTCTAGGAAGTTCCCAGAGATGGGGTGCGGACTAGTAAAGCCCGGACACCAGAAATCCGGAAGTGGCGCTCAGGGAGAGAGTGACTGTAAGTGGTGAGACCGAGGCATCGGTATCGGTTTCCAAGGAGAAGGTTGGGCCACGGTTGGAAAGCCCGGAGGGCTGCGGATCCCATGAGGAAGTAGAAAGCGTCCTAACGTTCAACGTGTTGGGAAACGCGAGGTTCTTGCTTCTCTTGGGAAATGGAAAGCCTGGGAGGAGCTTAGGATCGGTGGGGAGGGCAGCAGCTATGAAGCCTCAGGTTGGAGGAGCGAGGTAGGGGGCCAACTTAAGCAGCATCTGAGCGGACTTTGGATCTGGCATTGGAGGGCGGGTGCACGTGGGGAGAAAACTTGTAAGGATTAAGATGTACAACTTTGGGGTATGCGTTTGACCAAACAAGGAGACTAACGCAAGCGGTCTGTTATTTCTGCCAAACAATGGTAAAGTATTCCCTAGCTTGCAGCGGAGCGGAGGAGAAACGATCAGAAAAGATCATGGAGAAGTGTTAGATTGCAGTCTGTTATGTGATTTCAGAAAGGTCCCGGAATATCAGAAGAAAGAAATGAGAGAACTATCGACAAAAATGAAAAAAAAAAAAAAAAGCTGATAAGGAATGAATTCAGAGTTTTAAGTGTCAGTGTTCGTTTTACCAGGCGGTTCGAACCCCAGCAGCTCCTCAGGAGAAAAAACGTGGCAGTCTGCTTCCATAAAGATTTACAGACTTGAAAATCCAACAGGATAGTTATACTCTATCCTACACTACAAGGTCACTATGAGTTGGAATAGACTCCATGGCAATGGGTTTGGTTTGGATTTTAATGGATATATAAAATAATGCTTTTCCTTCTGTTGTTGTTATGTGCCATCGAGTGGGCCCCAACCCATAGCGACCCCTCCTTGGGTTTCTGAGGCAGTATCACTACGGAAGTAGATTGCCCAACCTTCCTTCCGAAGAGTGACTGATGGGTTTGAGCCGTCAGCCCTCTGGTTAGCAGTCAAGTGCCTTAGGCACTATGCTACCAGAGCTCCTTGCTTTTCCTTCTAGTAGCTTGCAAACTCAAAACACCTCAGATAATATACACTGGGCTTAAAAGAATTGCATAGGATATGCTCCCTAATTTTTGACCAGCTTCTCTTTTTTTTATAACCTCTGAAAGAAAACACCTAATACTGTTTCGGTTTTGTTTTTGCTTTTTTAGGTTGGTTCACTGTGCATAACCCATGATGCTAATGATCCAGAGGATATCGAGCAACTTCCTTGCTCATGGAGGAGAGGTCATCACCTCCTCCTAGGATTCTTCTGGTTGAGCAGAAATGAGCATGGATATTCTGATTGTGATCGTGGAACCTGGGGTGGTCTCTGGCTTAAGATGACGTGCTCTTCTTGTTTGCAGTGGTTGACAGAACAGGAGATTCCTTGAGAGCTAACCTTAGTACTTCTACGTCTTAGAATCTGCATTTTAACAAGATTTCCCAGGTGATTCAGGTTCCCAAGTGGTACATGCATATTGAAAATATAGTCCAAGTACACACTGGCTTACATAGGCTGTTATTGTGCTATATGTTGTCACTTGGGAGTAACTTGAGAACATCTTAACCTGCTCCATCAATTCTTTCCCAGATGATGTAAATTTAGTGCTTAGGAGCACGTACATGAGTGCACCTACCCATAGTTGGAGCTCATCCAGTCACTGTTTGTCCTGTAGGATAACTGATGAAAAGATTAGCTTCATCTTCAGTTCAGCCTTAAGAAATCAAAACCATAAATGCATCGAACCTCTCCTTGACCTGTTTCGAATTGTTTATCTTAAAGACCCAGCAGCCAAACCAAACAAAATGTCACATATTACTTTGTAGACAGAGGCAACCTCCACCTGTGTAAAATTAGGTTCTTTCCTGACCATGGATTTAGGGTGAAGTGTCCTTGTAGATACTGAGACTAAAGAAAAACTCCTTGCACTATCTTGATTCTTGACCTTTCCTCTGACTCCAGGTGCTACCAGTATGTCATGAAGTCCAATAAGAAGACACAGGAATATGAGACCAAGAGTTGTTCGGTCAAGTTTGCTGCAATGCTCAGGATCAAACATTGTCCAGGATCAAACACAACCTTTGAATTAATCTCCAGGTCATCCTTCCTTAGGGTGTCTGGTTCATACCAGTTTGACTCCCTGCTAAGAATTTGCATTTCAACCCCAGATAATGCTGAATCAGAATCTATATTTTAACAAGATTCCCTAGGTGATTCTTATATATATACTTGGGGGTCAAACTGGAATGAACCAGTTTGAAACCTTGTTTCTTCCCAGTTCCTGGATCATCCTTATTACCTCATGTTGGGAACTGATACGAATTACCATTAAGGATACCTTGGGTTTGGTCTTTCTAGAGTTAATCTCCGGGAGCTCTGGTAGCATAGTGCCTAAGGCACTTGACTACTAACCAGAAGGCTGGTGGTTCAAACCCACCAGCCACTCCTTGGCGGGAAGATGGGGCAATCTACTTCCATAGTGATACTGCCTCAGAAACCCAAGGAGGGGTCACTAGGAGTCGGGTCCAACTTGACGACATATAACAACAACAGAGTTAATCTCCGTCTAGTCTGGGTGGCTGGAGTCAGACACCCATCGTGTTGGTCCCCCACCACTGCATCTTGAAAATAGACTTTCTTTATAAGGTTGTTAAACTACCTAATCATGTTGTCATTGCATTTAACTGAAAATGCTTCATAACAAGTATGAAAATTCCTAAAACTTTCTTGGAATTCAAAATTTATTTCTTGAAAGAGCTTTAGTAACTGCAATAGAAAAGAGGCATAGTGAGGGTCCCAGGTGGTTAGATTTATTTTTTTCATTGGAAGTAATAGACTAAATTTCACCCAAAAACAGCAAATTGCTAATTAGGAGTAACTGACTGCTCACAAAAAAAGACCTAAATGAATAACGCAAATAATTTGGGTTTTATGACAACCTACTAAATTAGCCAAAGAAATTATCTAGATAACTTCTCAGTTCTCTATCTCACTTCAAAAGCAAACAGACTGAAGTCATCAATGAGAAGTGTTAAAGAAAGTTGTTTTGCTGACTATGTGGAAGTTCCAGGGTTTATAGAAAAGAAAATAGGCTTAGTTTTACTTATGTGGCAATCTAATTGTTCTGGTTACCTAGTGCCCCACTGATAAGAAATATACCACAAATGGGATGGCCTTAACAAACGAGTTTATTCTTACAATTTGGAGGCTTTAAGTCCAAGTTCGGTGCCAGGCTCTAGGAGCTGGGTGAAAGCCCCTCAACCGTGGGGTCCAGCTCTGCCTCCTGCTCCCGGCCCACTGGAGCTAGAGGCATTTCTTCATTCAGACAGTTGCTGCCTGCTGAGGCTCACAAGCCCAAGGTTGACAAGTAAAAAGGCACAGTCCCGATATTACCAAACCACATGGCAGGCCATTAACTTAAGTCCATTGTAAGTCTCAAGGTCGGCAGAGCATAGCAAGCTGCTGAGCAATGACATGGCTACATGCAGGGTCCAAGTGTGCCATAGGCTAGAGACCATTTCCAAGGCTTCTCCTTACATACAGGAAGCAGACTATATCCCAAAGGCAGCTACTCAGCTGTTTGTGGTAGATCCCACCATGGAGTTAATTGCCAGTCTCACCATGAGGAATAACTACCACAAGCTGCCCAGCCACTCAACCAGGCCCAACCAAGTTGACACAAAAACATAACTACCACACTAATAAATAAAAATAGTGTATTATAGTAAATTAACCAGACATTTAAAATAAATAGTACATGATTAAAATGTATAAAAATAAATTTTTAAGTTTCCAAAATTATTGCTTGTCAATCTTTGTTCCATTGTGCCCTGTTCTGTAAGCAGTCAAGACAAATTCAATTCCTTTTCACTGTATATGTTTCATTGCTCATTTTTTAAATGTCAGATTTCCAAATTTATTGCATGTCTTTTTACTGTAGTATTTTTCCCACACACACAAGTATTTTTGAGGCAGGGTAGTTAGTTATATAGACAATAGTTCTCCAGAGTCAGGTGAAGTTGTGAAAGAATTGAATGGTATTTGAAAGATTGAAAAAAGTAAAACAAAAAAAGACTTGTTTTGAGAAGTGAGGGAAGAGTCATATCAATAAACTAGCAGCAGCTTTACTTGAAAGTCTTGGAATTCCAAAAAGCTGAAATATAAAGTGATTGATTTTTCTTTGCTTCATCAGTTTCTTCATTTCATTCCTTATTTTTTTAATTATTATTCTATTACATGTAGTCTGTATGAGATCTTCAAGTACATACAGGGATTTGTATCCCTAACACCTTGCCTATTATATAGTACTTAACAGATTGTGGCAGAGATTGACTTTAACCATTATTAAACGGAATAAAAATTATTTAATGAAAAGAAAATCATTTCCTTTTCTTCCTGTACAATTGATTATCCAGTATTTTGGTTACCTAGTGCCACTCTCACAGAAAATACCACAAGTGGGTGGCTTTAACAAATGGATTTATTCTTTTACAGTTTAAGAGGTTAGAAGTCTGAGTTCAAAGTGCCAAGTTCTAAGAGCTGGGTGAAAGCCCTTTGACCTTCGGCTTCCGCTTTGCTTCTTGCTCCCAACCCAGTGAAGCTGGAGGCTTTTCTTAGACAAGCTACTGGTTGCTGAAGCTGGCAAACCCAAAGTCAAGTAAAAAGGCACAGTCCCAACACCAAACAACACAGCAAGCCACTAGTTCAAGTCCAAGTCCAGAGACAGTCCCAAGATCAATAAGAAACACAGCAGACTACTAAGTGAAGACTCAGCTACATGCAGGGTCCAAGCATGCCAAAAGGCTGCAAACCATTCCCAAAACACACACTGGAAGCAGACCACATCCCTAAAGCTGCTACTCAGCTGCTTGTAGCAGATTCCACCATGGTACTGATTGCCAATCTCATCATGGGGAATAACTACAACCAGCTGCCCAGCCACTCAAAACCAGGTCCAGCCAAGTTGACACATAACCTAACTACCAAATCCAGTCTTTCTTACAGTCTAGTGTTGCAGTGTAGTAAATTACCTGGTGTGGCTTTTCTAGCCATAAGTCTTTGTAAACTCTGTGGTGGAATTTGGTGTGAGCAACTGAGGAGCTCCTGATTGTAAAAGTTATCTACCTAGGGTATTTCTGTTGGGCACAACACAAAGCCATGTTCTGGGAGGTTCCCGCTCTCAGGTGCTTAGAATTCTTATGTTATGATTGGTTGGTTTGGCCACTCTGCCGGGCTCAAAAGGAGGCCTCCTAGAGGCAGAAGTCTCTCTCTGACCTATGGCTGAGGAAGACGTGTTACTGAGAAAGAGACACCAAGAGACACATGCTGCTGGGAGAGAGACTGTTGGGTGAGAGACAGCGGGCTGTAGTGATACTGCCTCGGAAACTCAAGGAGGGGTTGCTATGAGTCGGGTATGATTCAACAGCACACAACAACACGAAACAGTAGAGTCGAAGATGCATATACTCTATGACCTAGCAATTCCACTTATAAAGAAATTTGCATATGTGCACAAGTAGGCATCATTTTTAAGAGCAAAACAGTGGAGCAACTGAAATGTTAATAGGAAAATTTTTAAAGTGTAGTGAATTTATATAACTGAAATATTTTACGGTAGTGAAAATGAGTGACTTAGAGCTATGACTTTCAAAAATTTTACCTACAATAAGATCAAAGATTACAGCCTTCAGTATAGATTACATCTCAACATAAATAAAATAAAAAATCCTTGCAACTGGACCAATAAGCAACATCATGATAAATAGAAAACATTAAGTTGTCAAGGATATCATTTTACTTGGATCCACAATCAACACTCATGGAAGCAGCAGTCAAGAAATCAACAACATACTGCATCAGGCAAATCTTCTGTAAAGAACCTCTTTAAAGTGCTACAAAGCAAAGATGTCATCTTGAGGATTAAGGTGTACCTGACCAAGCCATGGTATTTTCAACTGCCTCATATCCATATGAAAGCTGCACAATGGATAAGGAAGATCAAGGAAGAATTGATGCATTTGAATTATGGTGTTGATGAAGAATATTGAATATACCATAGACTGCCAGAAGAATGAACAAAGCTATCTTAAAATAAGTACAGCCAGAATGCTCCTTAGACGTGAGGATGGTGACACTTCATCTTACATACTTCGGATATGTTATCAGGAAGGACCAGCCCCTGGAGAAGGACATGACTCCTAGTAAAGCAGAAGATCAGTGAAAAAGAGGAAGACCCTCAACAAGATAGAATGACACAGTGGCTGCAAAAATGGGCTCAAACAAAGCAACGATTTTGAAGGTGGCACAGGACCAGACAGTGCTTCATTCTGTTCTACACAAGATCACTGTCAGTCAGAATGGACTTTATGACACCTAACAATATAGGATAGACATACAGATCACTGGAATAGAATTGAGAGTACAGAAATAAACTCATATCTATGGTAAATTGGTTTTGATGAGAATACCAAGACCATTCAATGGAAAAGGAATAATCTCCTAAATAAGCAGTGCTGGGACAGCTGGATCTACACATGCAAAAAAAAAAAAAAGCTTAGCTCATACCATATACAAAAATTAAATTAATCAATAAACTAAAACTATAAAACTCTTTAAAAAAAAATAGGGATATATCTTCATGACCTTGGATTAAACAATAGATTCTTAGGTATGATGCCTAACATGCAAGCAACAAAAGAGAAAAGAGGTAAGTTGGGCTTCATCAAAAATGAAAACTTTTGTGTATCACCTAGGACATTATCATGAAAGTAAAAAGACAACCTATGGAATGGATAAAACACTGACAAACTATATATCTAATAATGGTCTAAAATCCAGAATATATAAAGAACTCTTATCACCCAACAAAAGAACAAACATCCAGTTTTAAAATGCGCAAATGATATGAATAGACATTCTCCAAAGAAAATATACAAATGGCCAAACACACATGAAAAGATGGTCAACATCATTAGTCATTAGAAAAATGCAAATCAAAACCACAAAGAAATACCACTTCATACCCACTAGGATGACTATAATTAAAAAAAAAAAAAAAAA